TTCAAAATCTTTCTTAATTTGTTACATGTTCCATTTTCGGTTTTCACAAAGTGTACCCCCATATAGAAATCAAAGACGTAGTCCTACGTCAAAAAAAACGAATAAATCCATAGAAAACGAGCAGCAGTTTAAATCTAACTGGCGTTCGGCGGCGAATAAGGTCGATGAGACCACTGTGCAAAATTTAATGAATAACCCCTTTTGCGGAAGGCACGGCAGTTCGGATTTGGCAAACCTAAAGAATAATCGAACATTTTTTTCCTTTAAATATATGAATTTAACTACCAAAATAAAAATAAGAAGATTTTTGTGATATGAATTTTGACTGAAAGAAACGATTTTTTTGTCGACCATTTTTTGCGCGTTCCAGTCTTTAGCTGTATCTGCAGCTTTTTTCAGCTACTTTACATAATGGAGGAAAAGATGGCTTATAAAGCTGAACATGTTAGTTGAATTGAGTGCATAGAGAATAAAGTTCGTACAGGAACCGGTTGTAAAGACGATAGTTATTACTGGCACGGGTAAATTGCTGTCTGTAGAAAGGACAGCGGTTTCTACTATAACTCCGAAGTGTTCTCGATTCAATACGTTTGAGCCGTCGTAAATGCACATTTCCCCAAGGTGGATTTGGAGTAGGTCTACGTATAGGAACATGTTCCGTTAGGGCAGTGTTAATAATACGTGAGAAATGACTGCTTCGTCAATGTTCGGTGCCAATTCTGAAAACGTCCAATCCGAGTTCAATATTTCTCAATCAGCTTTATTGTAATTCCGGATTGGCTCGTTTGGAAACTGTTTAAAAACTGGTGCACTTGGCACTTCAACCTCCACTGAAAGGGCAGGATGACCAGTGTCTATGGGAACTAGTGGTTCGATATTTTCGAGTAGCTTGCAAGTTACCATCAATGAATCCATGACCAGAACTAGGTCGAGAAGTCATCCATTCATATTTAAAACTCCGTTGATTTGTATCAAACCATTTAAACTGAAACCGTCAAGTAATTCTGCACATGTAACAGAAATATTCGATGTCATTACATCTCCAGTAAGATAGTCCGTAGATGAACTAGCCTACGGCTAAAAATCTCCTAAATAAAGAAAAAAAAAGTAAGATAGTCGGCAATAGTAGAGTTCCATACTAATCCAGACTGATAATAGTTTCCACACAAAACTGCGTGATCTTGTTCTCTAAGGTTATAGAAAAGGATCTGGTGGATTCAGTGTGTTTGTCTATACTGACTAGGTCATTTTTTCGATCAGGTGGTTAATATAGTACATAAATGCTAATTCGCAAATTAGACAAATTAAGAGTCACCCAAAGTTGCTCAACTGAATTATCATCAGATGTACGATTGATGCAACAGTTAAACTAAACTGAAACGGCAATAAATACTACGCCACCTCATGCTTTCCTGCTATTGAGGCGATTACGATCATCGTCAATTACGTCGATTACGATTTTCGTCAAACCAAGTCTCAGTGAGGATAATTATGCCGAAGTGTGATTCGGAGACTGCCACAAAAAATCATCAATTTTTGTGAACCAACCTCGAATGTTCTGATAATAGATCGCCAGCTTTCTGGACGACGCCGGAGGACGTGTACTGTTCTGCTCATAAATAAATTCGATTTGTGAAAAATCCACCTGGTCTAAATCGGTAAGAGCACGGCTATAGAGTTCGTTGTTATATGGACCTGCTTCGTCGTTGGATCGGTGGGTGTGGATAGAATTCAGCGGTAACAGTCTGTACGAGGTAGCGTCAGTTGAGCAACCGATGAAATTCGGCTCTAACATTTTCTGAAATGGTTGATTATCACTGAGGGAGAGTGCGGTATCCAGAAACGCTTCGATAATCTAATGTAATCTAATCTAATACAAACGCAGCCAGTACGAGAAAGCAGACTGGAAAATGATTAGGTTAGATAACGCCTAATCATGTTTTTTGTCAACATTGATGTTTACAGCATATCTGTTTCGAATTCGTTTATTATTCAGTTACAATCTGGATCGGGTTGCAAGATTGGGTCTGTTTGTTTTCTGACAAACGTCAGTTTGATCCTTTTTTTAAAACCTACCTCAGGTTGAGGTTCGCACTAACAAAAAGTTCGGATTCGCACCGGGTTGAAACTGGTCCCAACTCCGGTAATAAACGTTGCGTTGCATTTGCCGTAAAGATGATTCTGTAAAATGATCCGAGTATAGATACATTTCAAGCTGAACATTGCATTAGGTCCTAAGTAATGTTGACAGGTTCTCTTCGTCAATTTTCTCTTTGTATCTCCACGGCCATGTAAAGACATTCCCAGGTATTTTCAGCACACAAATCGATCTTTTATCTAGCATCTAATACGACAAACACAACAAGGAACGGCTATGGGCTTGAGTTATCAACGAAAGAAAAAGTCGACAAAGAGAATCGATTAATGTTAGTTAGGACCTAATGCGATGTTCAGCTTGATTTATTTACATAGCGATGCATTTTGTAAATTCTACAGGGTTTGAAAGATGCGTGGACATACCGTACCAAACGCTCCGAGTTATGTAAGAGTGAATTTAACAATCATATTTGATGTTATGAATGGTTTATATAATAAAGTGCAATTGAAGGATCTCACCAAATGTCGCCAATGTTTCCCAAATTCCAAATTTAGAGATAAAAATGGAATGATCTCACCAAAACTGGTCTGCTTGACTGTGATCATCAACTTTTCCGGGCTTCTCTATTCAACGATTTTCTCCAGTAGCTTTAGCCTTTAGCTTATGCCTGTTGTCCTCTGCCAAACGCTTCGTCTTCATCACACAGCTCGCAACGGACGCCGTACACGGATCTTCGTTCTCTTCTGTTTGCTTCTTACCTTATTGTATTCCCATGATCTTCTGGGAGGAAACTCATGTTCAATGTTACTCTTCTTTAGCTGCACCGAGCACTCTGAATGTGCACTACGTGCATCATTTAATCAATGTGAAGATTATTATGGGTTGGTGTTGTATAGAAAGTGCAAAAAGAAAGAAATAAATTTAGAAATACGACCGGGATTTGTTTGAAGAATTGATAATTTTCATCGGATTCCCCAACTGACCATACTCGAGCAAATTAGGTATATGGGTCATTCCAGCTCAAGTGGGTACAGAATTTAAAAAAGTTGTGGTCGATGTCACCGATTTGAGCCAAACTTGACCAAAACGCTTATTTTGGCATTCTGATCAAACGCCTTTTTTATTTTGCTCTAAAGTGGCTAGCTCCTTTTGGGCTGCAACCCTGGATTTTCGAAATTTTTAAAAATTTCAGCTTCAGAAGAGATTACTCTACAACCAAATAAGCTATTCCTGATCTTAGAACGTCAATTTAGACATTTTTTTAATTTAGATTTCTATAAGTGTACCCAAATTTTGCTTTTGTTATAGTAACTATAGTAAACAGGCTGATTACCGGCAGGTACCCAAATTGTCAAAAAATGTCCTATTTTCACCATGGGTGGGATTTTTTTATTTCTTTATATTTTTGGCTCAAATTTGGAAAACTCTTCTACTTGATGTGTTTCCAAGAGCAAATGGTTTTAGCAAATAGTTTTTGAGATATGACCAGATGAGTGAGTTGGAGTTTTAAGCTTTTCTCGTGGGAAATCAATGCTATTTAATGTTTTTTTGTTTTTTCATGAATTCCTTCACGCTATTTCGAGGAGAAGAGTTTTCCAAAGTGTGGTGAAAATTTGAGCACAAAATATTAAGAAATAAAAAATCCCGCCCATGGTGAAAGTAGGAATTTTTTTGATAATTTGGAAACCTTCCGGTAATCAGCCTGTTTACTGTAGTAAACTGTACAAAACAAAATGTAGGTGCACTTATAAGAATTTACATTAAAAACCTCCAAATTGACATTCTAAGATCACGAATAGCTTATTTGGTTGTAAAGTAATCTCTTCTGAAAGATGATTTTTTTTTTAAATTTCAAAAACCCCGGGTTGTAGCCGAAAGGGATCTAGGCACTTCTGAGCTAAATAAAAAAAAGTGTTTGTTCAGAATGCCAAAATAAGCATTTTGGCCAAGTTTGGCTCAAATCGGTGACATCGACCACAGGTTGTGTACTCACTTGAGCGGGAGTGAGCCATATGTAAAGCTATATTACGACTATATGGTCATTTGGGTACTCCTATGGGTACTCGGTTGCGAAGTGAACAATTTCTCAAAGTGATGCGTTATATTTCTCAATGTTTTGACTTAATCCTATCGTTAACTCAAAATTATATCTTCAGTACCCAAACAGCATTGCATACTTTATGAAGGATTCAGAGCATTCTACGAGTTTACAACCTGGTGTATGCAATCCTCACAAAGTTTGAATTGCTACTTGGGTATTGAGCAAACTGCAATCACTCTCTCATACTTGCAATGTGTCACGACCAATTTGACACAACGACACCCTTACGCTCTCTGATTAAAGCGCAGGGACATTATCCAGAAACACTTCAGTAGGACATTTACTCAATATAACATTACGTGGGTCAGCCAGTTCTTTAGGTGGTAAGAACGCCCGGAGCTGCTGCAGCAGATCTTTCACCGAGATTGGACACTTTCTGGAATGGTTGAGCACGATTGAGGAAGGGTGCATGTGTACATTTAGGGGTATTGAGTTCTTTATTTTTCTACTTCTGAATTTTCTTCCTCTGCATCGCTTCGTACTCGTATAGATCATACCAATTGTCAAATCCAAGTTTGAACCGGCCACCGTGGCGCTGCTATCGCAGCGGTGATCGTAATCAAATCATCTGTCAAACGGAGTACGTTTTTCATTTTGTGGTAGAAAAAAGTAGTTTTTTCGAGTTATGTTAGTGATTAGCTTGATAATCCACATCAATTACGAACAAAAAAGTTGCGCAGATCAAAATGGTAAGTAAGGATTAATATTTTAGTTCAAACATTTCGAAATATCAGTAAAATAAAAAAAAGGATGTTCCTCTCAGTACGTAAACAAACATTTTTATGATATTTTTTTTTGCAGGATTCAAACATAAGATGCCTCGTAACCGGCTGTAATCCTTCTGGAAGGAATTTATTTCGAGTGCCAAAAACCGGGAGCAGGTTTTTCACCAGATGGCGAAAAGTTGTGAAGATTTCTGGAACGGGCAACGAGAGGATCTGTTCACGTCATTTTTCAAGTGATGATTTTACGAAAAGTTAGTAGTTTTCCAATTTATTTGTGAAAAATTGTAAATGGACCGTAGACAACAGAAGCAAACCCAAAAATTCCTTCTAATGCACCCTTCATCGTACCGTACCAATCGCTGAATTTTCGTTGCATCAATTTAATTTCAGATGTTCGCAGCAGACTGAAAACTTCAGCACTCCCGTCCGTGAAGCTTCCGGAAGTTAAACAGAAAGCAGTGGAAAAGAAAGGATGTTCTGTTCTTGGATGCCGTTCAAAATACATCCCTGATATGGAAAAGTTTCCATCTTCCAAAACATCAGCGTTCCCCAAATGGAGGAATTTGTTTGGATTACAGGAAATAGATCCAAAAGTGTTTGCTTCCTGGAAGATCTGCCGAAACCATTTCAAGGACAAAGACTTTATAACAGGTAAAAACATTTTTTTTTCTTAACGGCAATATGCCCCTGTGCTTCTTACCGATAAGGCTCCATAATTATAAAGCACCCCAAGGCATTACTTTTCCAACATGTTAGTTATATGGTGTCTTGGATAAAGTTTCTTCATATTTTTTGGCCAATATTTTCATTTTAGTGTAATTAAGGTGGTCCATACAATTGGTGGATTAAAAATACAATTTTTTTTAATTGAAATTGAGATAGACCAATGCAGTGTTGAAGAAAGTTGGAGAATAATCAATTCGAAGCAAACTTTGCTGAAAACACCAAATTTCTATCTTTAATGGTTCATGAGTTAAGATTTTTTTAAACAAGTAGGTTAGGGTGGCCCCTAAAAAATCGGGAAAACGTTGTTTTTGCTTCAGGTTGCTATCTTTTTTGATTTGAAAGTTAATGGTGATTTTCTTCGAAAAATAGCTCTTTTCAATTGTCAATATCTCTGATGGTTTGGGCGCAAACATTTTTATCTTCCTATATACGGCTTTGGGACCATTGTGCACTGTATTTGAAAAAAAAATAGTGTGTAGTATAGAGTATTCCTACTATTTTAAGATGTCACTGCTCACTAGCCCTACATTGAAAATAAATCAAATTCTTCTTTCTTGATCCTTATTATTCTTTCTTGATTCTTATTATTTCAATTTAAATTAAAGTCCATCCCATTTTTTCTTTCAGTTACGTCGTGCTATCTAAAGGCGAATGCAGTGCCCAGCAAGCATCTTGTAAGACTGGTTAAAATTCCATCTATAAATCGTAAGACGACCCAATTGAATGCTGTACCACAGTGTCTGCTAGATCATACCTACTACATGGAAGACCTGAGACCCAAGAGCAATAAAAACTGTTCAGTATATGGTTGCGTAGCTAGGAGCAGCATGGGCGTATTTCTACATAAGTTTCCGAAAAACCGTGAAATGGTGAATTCTTGGCTCCATGCTATCAAAAGCTCAACGAAACCATCAAAAAACTCCTTCGTGTGTAGCCAGCATTTTCACAGCAGCGATTATAAAACAGGTAAGCACAGCATAAACTGAAGGTTTCAAAATGAAATCATAGCCTGGTATTTATATTAACTTATCTGGGATTAGAAATATTCTAATATTTATTATAGTTGCATCAATATCATAAGTAAATTAAGTCTAAGATTAAACAAAATCTAAATAAATATAAAATAATCAAGAGCAGCGTTGCCAGTATTCCAGATTTATCTGGATTTTCCAGATTTTTAGTCGTCTTGCCAGATACACAGACATACCACGTATATTTCAATATTTTTTTAAATATGTTTCAGATTTTCCCAGATTTTTGAAACATGTTGTTTAAAAATATCACTGCAATTGATTTACCATCTAATCAAAAAAGTAAAAAGCAAAACTTGCTACTCAACGTCTATCAACGTTGGACATTACATAATTAAGGCAATTCTGCAAATTGTTCACCGTGAAGTGTAAGGTGAATTCCTTGTGAAATAAAACGAGAATTTCAAGCTACTTCTGAGTAGCTAGTATATAGTAGTATAGTTAGGAAATTCTGAAGAGGATTTCACGCAGTTCAAAGGGAATTATCGGAGTCTGAGAAGAGCGTGACGGTCATTCTGAAGAGTGTACCAAGGAAATTATTATGATTTTTTTTTTCAGAATTTCATAGAGAAAAATGGACACAAAATTGTGCCAATTCTTGGGAATTATTACCAGTTTGAGGGAATTGTTGAATTGGAGAGTGAATTATAAGAGATTAAAATAGGTAATGCTAAGATCTCTTAGAATGTTACTGTAAAAGTTTGGATATTATCAAAATTTGTTTAGGGGAATAGAGAAATGAAGTATGATGGAATTCTAGGATGATTAAAATGGAAATAAACAAAAGGGCGAAAATATCCTGAGAAGAATTCCAAGTAAAATCAGACTAACAAAAAATTTAATGATCTGGGACCCAGAAAAAATTTAAATTTCGGAATTTAGAATCATGTCAAGATCCTGAGACTTCCAAAATTAAGCTATCAGACTTTCATTTTAGTAATATAATAAAATTATTCTTTGTCATAAAATTATTCGTAATGGTCATGCGAATAGTGGAATTATCCGTAGTTTAGGTAAACTGTGTGTGAGTACCACGAAGTTAGACTCTGATTCCCATTTCAGCCAGGTGAATTTTGCTTCAAAATAAAATTGCCTACTGGGTTTTGCGTGTTGTACACGGTTCGAAAAAAGTACCCAAAATTAAGTTCTTTTCACTCATCTCGGCACTATAGTGCAGGAACCCAAAAGTAGGTAAAGCGAGCCAAAGTAATTTTCATTTACTTGTGTGCAGTTCGTATGGAATTTTCCACTGGCTTTTTAACCAAAAGTACGTTATTTGTACCCAACAGTAAGTAAATATGATTATACTCAACGTTGGGTTCCCACACATTACTACCCCTGTTGGGTGGCTTTGCTCCTCCGTTTTTGACAACATTAGAAAGAGAAAAGGAGACAAACTAGTCAAAAGTAGGTAAAAGTGAACTGGCCGTTGGGTACTTTTTTCTTACCGTGTATGATGTCAAGAATTAAATTGTAAATCTGATCAACCTTAGGGTAATATTAGAATTATTTAAAACTAATAAAATCTTTAACTTCTGGTATTGCATCAAATAGGAAAGACTACATCGATTATGATTAGTTAAAACAAATCCATCCCATAAAATTTTCTTGATTCTTTTCTTTTTTTTTTTTTTAAAGATACAGTTTAAAAAACAATTCTAAATTCTAAACATATTTTCTGCAGTATTTTACCCACATTTGACTAAATTTTTCAAATGCTGCGAATTGGATATTTAAAATTTTTGGGCACACCGTGTCAATACTTTTCAACCTACCAGTAATTCCCTCATTCTTTTGAATAATTTGGAAATATGTCCTTCATTGAAGTAAACGGTCTCATTTAAAAACGCTATATATGCTTTAACCTTTTGCTGTTTTTCATAGGCGTTTAATTTTTTTTACGAGCGTAGTGTTCATGAAGCACTCTCTCAGTTATTAATTGAGAGCTTTCTATGCTTACCAATGCATGAATTTGTATATTGGGAGGCAAGCACAACCTCTTTTTCCGGTGGCTGAAACATGGCTGAATGTTATGGACATTTTAGAAGCGTCCATTTAATCTTTTCTGATCGCTGCAACAGAATTCTATCGAGCGACACTCGGAGAAAGCACGACCGATTTGACTTCAATTGATTTAATTTTCTATATTCTTATATCACGTTCAGACTTCAGACTTATAACATGTTATAACGGTTGTCAAATAATTGCAACACAGAAAACACCATCAAGATAGTCCTATAACATGTTATAACTCTGTAGTCTGAACAAGGCATTACTCTCATAGAGCCAAATTGAATTTTATTCCGATTGGACATTTGGTTCCGGAGTCATAAACAAAAAAGTGAAAGTTTGCAATCAATTTGGGTTACTAAAGATAAAAAATCAGAAAAATACCTCAACCCGTATTTAAAAAAAAATCACGTTGGATTATGATGAAAATACTAAACATTATTGTGTATGAAAAATATGCGAAGTCCGAGATCTAGTAAATTTTGGATACACTTTATGCAGATTAAATATAGGGAGCCTTGACATTTCAAGAAATTAGGTCTTTGAAACTTATAATGGTTTTCAGATTTAAAAGCAAATAAAATAAAATGTCAGTTAATCGTCTTTATGTTTTTTTTTTTTTATATAAGCAACTTTGAAAGCAACACTAAAGGCCAAGCCCACTCAGTTCAAATCTCATCCCGGACTAGTTATGAAATTTATAATAACAATCAAAATATCCTCATAAAAAGTATGACGTTTAATATACCTTATTATATATTTATTTTAGGTCTGAATGTGCTGAAGAATTCAGCTGTTCCTTCCCTAATGTTACCACGAACATCCAAACATTTATATCAAACGCTGGATGCACGCAACCCATACAAGCGTGAATTAGTTTCGTTCCGTAAGCCTGAAGCTGATCTAATACCTGAGAATAGTTCGACCGAGGATAGTATGATAAATTCCGATAAAGAATGCTCAATAAACTATGGAGATTGCTCTACTTGTACAATATCCAACGAAACATGTGAACATAACGATAAAGCAAATGTTGATAAGGACAACACACCAGTTGAAGCACACGTTGATAACGTACAGTTTTTCGCTGAGCTTCCTTTTCATAATGAAATGGACGATTCACAATGTCACTGCACCTCTTCATCGAGACCAACACTAGATTTCAAAACAGTTGAGTGTAGAACGGATGCCGAAGAATTAGAAAAAGTTTTCAGGAGTATTCAGAACCAGAAAGATATAATTCTAAGTGACTTCCTACTCACAGACAAAGATCTTGCGGTGTGGACAGGCATATCTTCTTTGAAGTTATTTGAAACGATTTCTTTGATGCTAAAAAATCTCGAAGACAACATCTATCCAAAGCGATACAAGATGGACACTGGAGATCGAGTTATATTAACGATGATTAAGCTTAAACAGAATATATCATTTGCTGCTCTTTCTACTTTGTTTAGAATTTCGTCAACCACCGTTGCAGAATATTTTTCTTACACTGTGCAGGTGCTGGCTGAGGTCTTAGGGCAGATGATTGTTTGGCCAACAAGAGCAGAAATTAGAAAAAACATCCCACACTGTTTCAAAGAAAATTTTTCTAAAGTTCGATGTATTCTTGATTGTACAGAAATTGGTATAGCTACACCGAACTGTCTAAATTGCCGCATTTCCAGTTATTCCAACTACAAACACAGAAGAACTGTTAAATTGTTGATCGGCGTAACCCCTGCCGGACTAATCAGTTTTTGTAGTCGAGCATATTCGGGAAAAGCCTCAGATAAGTACATATTCAACCAGGAGAACTTCATGGAGAAACTAGTTGAGTTCCAGGATGAAATTATGGTTGACAAAGGATTCTCCATTGAGGCAGAGTGTCTCCAGAGTGGAATTCATCTACATATACCACCTTTCCTAAGAAATGGAAGACTGTCGGAAGGAGAAGCAATCATGAATGAATCTATTGCAAAGGCTAGGGTACATGTAGAGCGTGCTATATCAAGAATTAAAACCTTCGGAGTGCTACAAGGGAGCTTGGATGCAAGTATGCTGAAACATATTAACGAAATTATGAAGATTGTGTGTGGAATGACCAATCTCTCAGCACCCATTCTTCGCGACGACAAATTTTAAATGATTTTGCTACCTCAATAAAGAAGCAGAGTGGAACACACACCCATACACACCCCATGAGTCAACTTTAAACTTAAAAGAAATACATAAAAATACCATTCAATCAACAAAAACTGAGTACATTTCTAGACCAACAATTGAAATAGGCGGAACAACCAAACGTAAACAATGGCTTTAAATGCAAATTTCTCGAGGATCATAATACACCCACGCAAACTAACAATTTCATTCGATGAAGAAAGTTTGCTCTTTCAGATGCTGGTGTTAGATTGCGTAGATGTACGTTGATTATCGAGAAATTTACGTTTAAAGCGATTGTTTGCGTTTGGTTGTTCCGCCTATTTCAATTGTTGGTCTAGATTTCATGAAACCTGAAAAGAACCTGATAGATAAGAAGAAAATTAATTTAAAAATTTGTTTTTCGTTTACTTACATATATTGGTTATTACTTTTATTAAAGTTATGATTATTAATAATATTAGTTAGGATTTGCGATTAAGTTTCGGTAAAATGTGCTGAAAATATATCGGTTTTAGAACCTTCACTAGTTTTTCTACATATTCTCGATCGAAGTCAACCTCAGCGACTATAAAATCATCACTTTTAGCAGAATAAATGATGAAATCTGTTTTTATAATGTTTAGTATCATCATATTTACTTGGATTTGAGCATAGTATGCATGTTTCTTATTTAAATAATACTTTTTATACCCTGCTCCTTCATCTACCTTCAAATACCGTTTCGTGACAGAACAGTTCTTTAAAATCCATAGTATATCGTGTTCCTCTCCGGAAGCAGGGCATTTTATTTCTAGTAAAATGTGAGACAGTGGATCCACTCCATCGGGACTTCCACCAATCCATGGTTCACAGTGACTGACCAGCAAGCCAGTTCTTTTTACGTTCGGGTTCCTGTATCTTGTATAACACGAAAAAGCTTTGTCTTCTGTTACCTTCCCATAACGCATACTTTTGGTTTCGAAACATTTGGGATTTAAAAACTGAGTGATTTTTTTTTCCCAATCGGCCTTTTTGTTACTTGCGTACGTATATAGAGCATAACATGAGCTTGCCGTAATCCGGATGGAGCGCTGGAATTTCCATTCTTTATTGTCTTGGGCACAAGTCTCCTGAGCAATTTTCAGTATAGATTCCTGAGAGACTTGGACAATCTCTGCATAAAATTTTTCGTTTTGTGGCGACAACTGCTGCTTAGCATTTACTACTACGGCATTCGAATCGTCAAATAGCATAGCTTTAAGTTCATCGTTGGTGCA